TAATTTTTTACCAATACAAATGCATCTAAAAAATCATAATTATTTTAAAATATTCAAACGTTTAAAAGCAAAATTATCTCAAATTAGTTTAACATCATTTTTTTATTTTTCTATTTTTATTTAATATTAATATGTTTATTGATAATATATTTTATTTTAACATTCCAATTACATTAATTATCTCTTTTATTTCAACATAAATAATTAATTTTATTTTAATTTTACATTAGTCACAGATATCCATTGGTCATTATCTCTTTGTGGAAGTTTTGTAAAATTGTGACAACTTTTGGCATCCATCACAATTTTGTTACAGATAATTAATGACAGGTTCACATTCGTCATAAAATATGAACTTTTAAAAGGAATAATGACATATATCATCATTTATCACTAGTACGTCACAAATCACTATAATTAGTGATAGATATCACGTGGTCATTAAATATCCATCACTAATGTCAATTTTTCAAGTAATAAAAAAGAAGTGTTCGAAGCATAATTAATCATGGAAAAGGTCGTTTGGACCAACACTTGTGATAAAATGAAAAGTCTCCAATCAAAGACATTCACAAAAAATGAAAATCAAATATTCATTATAAAAAATTAACCCCAAGAAAAAAAAAGACCTGAGTCTTTTATCTCTATTAGATGACTTTAAAAGACTTCCATGGAGGATGAGAAGAATGAGGCTATTTGTGTGAACTAATTGTTTTTGAATTCCTTTGTAGAATATAGTATCTCGTATTATTAAAAAAAAAAAAGACTTTAGCTGATTCTAGATCCACAAAACTGACAAAGGAAAATGGTAAATTTACAATTTATAACATTTATTTTTAAGTATTTTGCACAATTGAAACCCTTATGATTTTAATATTATACATTAATTGACACATTATTGTAATTTAGAAAATATATTATATAAAATAACTAATTAATGGCGAGTTTGTTAAAATTTGTTTTTAGATAATTTAGACAAAGAGATATTTATTTGTGGAGATTTTATAAAAATAAGATATTATTTTTTGTTTAGTTATAATAATAATAAAATAATTATTAATTACTTATTTAAAATTTTGTAGTATGTTCATGGATTTATATTTTATAAAAATGATTTATTATTTAACTATTTTACGTTATCTTCAATCATCTTTGCATATTTTTAACATTCTCTCTTATCCAACATATCATATTATTTTTAAAAGTTACTCAAAATAGAATATATAAATAATCAAATATCTTCTTTTTAAGGTTCTAATTATTTTTTAAAGTTTAAAAAAATATCATAAAATCTCAAAAAATTATTTTTAAAAATAATAAGTTATTTTTTCATTAAAAAGACTGAAACAAACCGGTGTTAAATGTTGTTTTAGATTTAGAAAATGGAAGATTCTTTAGGAAATGATGCTTAAGTCCCAAAGGATAATTTTATTCATAAATCCCAAAGGATAATTTTATTCGAGTAAAGTCCCAATAAATTTTAAAATGTAAAGTAAGTATTTTAAGTCTCCAATTGGTATTTTCATAAGGCAATATGTTCCCAATTTTAAAATTGGAGAAACCAATTGCAAATTCAGCAAGACAAAATTGTAAATTTGGAAGATAAAGTTGCAAATTACTAAAAATATTCAAATAATGATATGATTCTTTTCAAATTTAATTATTAAAATTTTTATTTCCTATCACAAGTGGGAAAATGAGTTGAAAAGACAATAAGTCAAAATTTTAAGTTTGAGCGATAAATTTAACAGATTTTATAAGAGAAAATTCATGGTTTTATATCAAATAAATTATCAGGTGCATATTATCAAAAAAATATATAAATAATGACATGCAATAACATAAGGTCTCATAAAGCCACTAACAATACTCCCAACAATAATTACTATCAATAACAACTAAATTTGAAGTAGGGGAAATAATGAAACTAAAAAAATTTCGGCAGAGCCTTCCCTAAAAATTGAACTTCCAAAACTTTTAAAAAAATTTATAAGAAAAAATTCATGATTTTACAGTAAATAAATAATCACATGCAATAATATAAAACTAATAGTACTTTTTGCAACAATTAATATTAATAACAACTAAATTTGAAGCAATTAGGAGAAAGAACGAAATTGAAAAAAATGTGATAACTATTTGATCACACAACAACAATTTGATTACACATGCAATAATCTAGGGCATTAGGCAACCACCAATAGCATTGCCTAATAAGTAACTACATAATAACTAATTAAAAGAAATTAACTAAAATAATTAACAAAAACTAAAATCAATTTAACTAAAATTAAAAAATTAAACTGAAATTTGACAAAATATTTAACAATAACTGAAATTATAAAACTAAAAATAAACTGAAATTAACTAAAATATTTTACAAAAACTGAAGTTAATATATATAAATTAAAAGTTAAAAAGAAAAAGAAAAGAGCATAGCTATTCGAAGAATTCGCCAGGGCCGAGGGAGAAAGAGATTGCCTACACGTGAATGAGAGTTTTGATAATATTTAATGTAATTTGTGAGCATTTAGTATCTTGTATTAAATTCTTACTTATTATTTTTATAAAAAAGCTCTCAAATAGTTTATAAATCTTCATTGTTTTATTTCTATTCATTTCATAGAGTTTCTATTGTAAAAGGCTATCTCTTTCTATTTTTTGAAATGTTAAAAAGGATTTTCTAATTGTGATTGTAATAGCTATCTCTTTCTATTTTTTGAAATCTTAGAAAGGATTTTCTAAGTGTGATTGTAATAGTTTATTTGTGTAAGTAAGTGTGTTTTTGAAAATTAAAATTATTTTTATTTTATGGTTGTGCTATGGTGACAAGCACCCATTAAAATTTATTGAAGTAATTCAAGCACCCATATATAATTTATTTTATAATCTAACTAATAACATAGAGTTTAATTCCATCAGGTTTTTTTTTTTATGAAAATTGGATACTACATCGAGTGAGGCTCCCAACCAAATGTTGAATATGCATATATGTTTTTTTTTTTTTTGTTTTTACTTTTAAATAAGTTTTCAACATCAAGTAACATTGCACCCGATTAGAAAATCAACATTCTACACGGGTTGCCTTTGACCCAATATTAAAAGATATAATTTTAAAATTTTAAAAATACTTTTAACTTCGATAGCAAGTACAACCAATGTTGAAAATGATAAACAACCATGGTTGCATTTGGAACCGATGTTGAAAGTCATACATCCACTATTATAATTATAGAAATGCCACCATATTTACTTTCTACGTCATTTGCTTGTGAACCGATATTAAAAGTTGGATATTAAACTAATATTTTGCAATAGTGAGTCAAAATTTGTTGGGAGACAAATTTGCAAAATGTCAAAATATCAAATTTTGGAGTAAATTTGCAATTTTTTCATCTTGAATTTGTAATTTTTTTCATAGAAAATACAAATTTTAATAATTAAATTTTAAAAGTGACATGTCCTCAATTGTCTCGTTGAATTTGAAAATCTTTTTCATAATTTTAAAATTGAAAACATATTATATTATATTAAAATATCAGTGAAGGATCTAAGAGATTTATTTTACATTTCACAAATTGCAATTGGGACTTTACTTGAATAAAATGATCTTATTAAGAGTTACTTTCTTCTCCGTTTAAAAATTTAAGGTATTTTTAATTGAATCTCACCTTTAATAAAGTAGTTATCTACTTTTAAACTAACCTTATTTTTTTATATTTACATCTATTAAATACTCTATAATAAATATAAAGTCACTATCAATAAGGACACTTTTTAAAAAAAAGGTAATGATTACACCTCAAAAAACTAAAAATACCTTACATTTTTTAATATTTAACTTTTTAAAAAATTTCTTACATTTTTAAACGAAGGGAGTAAGTATTGTAATTTACTGAGATTCTTTTGCCACTTCAAGTCCAAAGACACCCGATACCCAAATCCAATGACACATATACATTAACACTTTATTGAAATTTAAAAATATATTATATAAAAAAGGGAAGTAGTATTTTATAATTACTATGAGAAATTAATCATCTGATTTTTTAAACTTTTTGATCCAAAACAACTCAATCCCCTATCCCTAATAAATAACATATCAATCTTTAAATCTTCATTAATTCCATGGGAGTTTTTTTTTATTTAAAAGGTAGAAAAATTATCTCGGTCATAGAAGTAATTTATCTTGTTCATTTACTTTTATAATTCTAAGAGGTATTTCCATTTGCTAAAAACAAAAAGTTTCAAAAATAGTACCTAAGTTTATTTTAGGAAAAATGATAATTATAGGCCTTAACATTAATAACAATTAAAGACCTTAAAATGTTGAAATGTCATGTAAAGACAATTGAGCAAAAGATAAGTTTATTTTACGTGACACAATAACAACTATCTAATTTAATTGAACTGTTATAAAAGATTTTATTATATAATATTCAGAAAGTATTAAATATCAAATTTTTGGAGAGGATAACATATGCGAGAAGTGCTTTGCTCATAAAAATTGTTTAAATTTTTGAAAGAAAATATATCTTGATAATTGTTAAGTATTAATAAAATATAATGACTATAACAGAGATATTTATTGGATGAGTGAATTTAAATCATTTACTAAACTCAAATCCAATCTTATGGCTTGTGAACAACATTTAATACTAATTTAACTAAACACTGTTTATTGATTTATCAAAATAGTCTTTTTCACTGGAAGAAGGGTCTCACGAACTCCCCCAGGAAAGAACGCAGACACAGACAAACATGCCCACATGTGTGTGTGTGTGTGTGTGTGTGTATAAATGTAGTCTCCCAACACTTGTTCCACGCACTGATCATTAACTCTCAGATTTAACACAAAGTGAGACAAGTTAAGATGAGTGACAATTGATTTAGCTCATATAAACGTACAAGCCGTCATATATATATATATATATATATATTTGTCTGTATAGTGATATATATATATATATATATAGAGAGAGAGAGAGAGAGAGAATCAAATGGGGAATATGGGGAAGGTGATGGAAGATTTGAAGCCAGCGTTGATGATGATAATGGTTCAAGTGGGAAATGCAGGAGTGAGCATATTATGCACAGTGGTTTCACATGATGAAGACGCCGGCTTGAGTATTCTCATAGCTTATCGTTTCCTCTTCGCTTCTATTTTCATGCTTCCTCTTGCTTTCTTCGTCGAAAGGTCCCTTCTCTTACCCTTATTACTCCTGTTTCTCTTTGTCGTACTAATACATATTCTACATACAACTGAAGCTTTGTACTGAACTGTACTGATACATATTTTAGCTTTAACCTTAACTGATATACGAGTGCGTATTCTGATTATTTCTTTTTTACTGGTATGAGATATATATATATATATATAGATTTCTCTGATATTTAAGGGACGAAAATTTACGATTTGGTTCTAGACATATTGAAGATCAAAGTTTTGGGATTAAATTTAAGCGATTTATGTATACTTTAAATTTTATACTCTCAAGAGTTTCGCTTTAATTATCTTTTTGATGATGGCAGGAAGAGCAAACCCAAGATCACAGGGAAAGTGTTGTTACAAGCATTTATGTGTGGGATATTTGGGTAAGTTAAAGGGTAAAAAATGGAAAGCAAAAAATCTGAAAGACTCATATTGATTTTGATTACCACTCTATTTATCTCTCAGGGGATCATTGCAACAAAATTTATTTGTGGAAGCAGTGTCTTTAGCGGGAGCCACGTACGCCACGGCGGCCATGTTCAACCTCATTCCTGGTGCAACCTTCGTCTTAGCTGTTTGTTTTGGGTAGGTCCCAGACTCTCATTTAATCCTAGCCCCACATCACGATCATCTTAGTTAACTTACGTTACCGAAAATTTGGGAAATTAAAAGGACCAGATTCAGAATCAGCAAATTTTCTTCCTCAACCTGCCGTTTATCTTTAATGATTCTGCACTTTTTCTTTCTTATTTTTCTATTTTAGTCCTTTTACTCAGTTAATTTAGTGATTACATGGTTCTTTTCCCCCAATTTTCTCTTGGTATTATCCTAATGCTAAATATAAATATAAAGTAATTTCTAAAAGACATGCTTGATCCAAAAGACTCTATAAAGCAGTATGTAGTGTTTATGTTCTTTTACCTACTCCCTCCGTTTAAAAATATTAGACATTTTTTTAAAAGTTAAATACTAAAAAATGTAAGGTATTTTTAGTCTTTTATAGTATAATCATTGCCTTTTTCTTTTTAAAAGTACCCCTATTGATAATAACTTTATATTTATTGTAGGGTGTTTAATAAGAATAAATATAAAAAGATAGGGTTAATTTGAAAGTAGATATCTATTTTATTGAGGGTAAGATTTAATTAAAAATATCTTACATTTTTAAACGAAAGAAATATATCCTGCCATTCTCTTCCCTTATTTATTGCTAGCAAGTTTAAATTCATAATTTTAATTGCATCGAATTATATATTGGCTTGCTTTGAATTCCAATATGACGTTTAATTTTGGTCAAACTTATTACATTAACACTACCTCCGTCTCAAATTATAGAACATTTTTGAAAGAGTTTTTAGTCTCAAAATATAAGACACTTTAAAAAAATTAAGGTTTCATTAAACACACGAATTCTAATATTCTCTCTATATAATTAATTTTTATCCCTTCTCTTCTTAATATATAAAATGAATGATATTTTTGAAAGTTTATATTTTTATTTTAAAAAAATGAGATTATCAAGTGTCTTTAATAAAATTTATTAATATGGTCGATTTTATCTAAAAATATTTTATAATTTGAAATAGAAGGAGCACATTTAATAAGGATATAATTAAAAATATTTACATATTTTTAAACCATTGTTTTCGACTTTTTTTTTGTGAACTGTGAAATAATTATGAATACCCTATACTATGGAGAGCAGGGAGTATAAAATAAGTTTTTTAAAAAAATATTTAATAAGTTTATTTTCATTATTAAAATTGCATATAATATTGGTCAATATTTTAATATATGATTTTACTTTAACTATTTTATTTAAATTTTTTTATAATTATAGATAATTATCTTATGATATTTTCAGTTTGTAAGATTATCTTTAAAAAAAAATTAAAATATATAAACCAATAAACATTACTCCATCCACTTGCCATGGGCGGCGGTCTTGATGAAGGTATACTGCTGTTGCCAATGAAGCAGCTGTCAGAAGCGGCCGTAACGTCGTCATCTTCTTGGTGGAAGCAGTGGACCATGTCGGCGGCTGTGAAGTCGAAGGCGTGGTACAGCGACTGGAAGTTGGTCCACATGAGACTTTAGGGTCATTTGTACTTTTCATAAAATTTTTTAGAAATTAAAATTGCTATGTGGGACCTCTACGTGATTTTCCCCATACTTAAGGGGTCCAAGTGATGAGTTAGGGTATGTTTGGATAGCCTTCTAACTTAGGTTAGAGTAGTCCAAACTTAAGTTAGGATGTTAAAAGCTCAATAAATATTATTTGGATAAAAAAAAATTATAACTAGCGTTGGAAGGCAAACGTTCGTTTAACGTGAAGCTATACAAGATGGCTTTTGGAACGCAGCGGTGGGATTATAATAGGAGAGAAGAAAGAAAAAGTCATATAAATAATATTATACAGATTCCAACATATAGAATTACAGTTTTTTTTTAAGTTACATAATTGTACTAACCTAATTTTTTTACAATGTCATACAGGAACCTCATTTTTTAACGTAAGGGTATTTTTTTTTTCTTTCCTTTTCATAAGTATATGAAACTAGACGTGAGTTTTATGCTTTATATTAAAATATTATAATTCATTTTTCAATTAAATTAGATGAGATTAATTCATTGGCAATATTATAATTTTTTTAAAGTTTATGTATAAATTTGAATTAAGAAAACTAATAGTCTAATTTAATATTTTGTAAATTATCATTTTATTCAAACTTCTAAAAGTTTAAGATTTTTAATTTGTCAATTTATTTTATCTTTTAGAATTGAATATTTTATAATTTATAAATGAATTAATGAGCATTTTAAACCTTGAGGCATTATACAAAAAGCGTTCTAGATCCTGAACTTATAAGATGTGTAAAACATACTTTAAACTTCTAAATTCATAGCAAATAATATTTATTTATTTAATAGTGAAAACTTAAGATTTCATTTAAAATAAGTTTAAATATTAAAGAATTTTAATTAATCAGTTAATTTGGGTTTAAAATTCATTGATAAAATCGTCAGCTATTGCATCCATTGTTTGTAAAATTCTCTGATACTTAAAATTTTTTTTAAATGGGATTCTAAGTTTTTACTATTAAATAAATAAATATTATTCAAAATAAAACTAAATCTCAGCTGAATATTTAATATTTTTTACTTATTAAATATAATTTATGAATTTATTTTATCTTTTCATAGTTAAAAATTTAAGGTTTTTTACTTATTAATTGTAATTTTAAGTTTATTATTTTTTACTTATTAATTAATCAAAAAATACATACAAAAATTTGTGTTTATTTTTGTTATTAAAAATCTCAACTGACTTTTGAATTAAATCATCCAAACAAATTTTTATTTATCTAACTGACTTTTAAAAAAAAAGTATCCAAACATAAATCACGTTATATTAACTGACTTTTTCTCTAACCTCAGTTTGCTAACTTAAATTGAATTCTAACTTCAATTGTAAATTTTTTAATCCAAACACACACTTAGTTAATTTGTTGTCACTGTCAGATTGGAGAAGATGAATATAGGAAGATTATCAGGAAAGGCGAAGGTGGGAGGGACAGTGATGGGAATTGGTGGGGCCATGATGCTGACGTTCTACAAGAGCAACGAGATACACTTACGTTCAACTCACTTCAATATTATCAAACACGTGGCCCCACAGAAGGGGTCCACCACTCAAGTTTGGGGCATTGCTTTGGCCTTTGGCACTTGTCTCTCCTACTCCCTCTGGTTGATCATTCAGGTCATTTTGAATCCTCAAGGCTCTTTGCCACAACAAAAACGCTGAAAGTCATCATCATGATATGTAAATATAATGCAGGCAAAGATGAGTGAGAAGTTTCCGTGGGCTTATACAAGTGCAGCTTTGATGTCAGTGATGGCAGCAATACAGTCTGTCATTTTTGCTCTCTTCATGGAGAGAGATTGGACTCGTTGGAAGCTCCGTTGGGACACCTTCCTTCTCACTGCTTTCTATATGGTACCCTTTTATTGAGGCAGAGGGAGAGAGAGGATATTTAAGCATGATATAATTAGAAAAATGTAAAATTGTTTTAAAAAATTAAAATTTCACCTAACTTTTATTGAGGACGACATCATGATTTTTTCTTCAACATTCATGCTCTTTTTAATAAAAATAAACTTTGAATAAAGTCTTGTTTCATTCTTAAATCATTTCAATGGTTTGGCTAACTCTTTTTGATTTTGATAATGAAGTGGTTAGAAGTGTTTTATGATGAAGGGAGGACACTTTGTTTATGTTGAGGCCTTCATCACATCATCATCATCATCATCATCATCATCATCAATTCATCATCATCATCTGAATTTTAATTCATACACACACACACACAAGGGAATTGTGGCGTCTGGACTAGCTTGGGTTTTAATCACGTGTGTCGTACGCCAGAAAGGACCACTCTACACTTCCATTTTCAACCCTCTCTTTCTTGTAGTCGTCGTCATCGCTAGCTATTTCATCTTAGATGAGAAGTTGCATTTGGGAAGGTATGTATTATCTACACACTTACATTATTAATCCCTCTCTGTCTCTCTCGGTTAATTTTGATAATTCATGTGGTTTGATTTTAGTAGGAAACTGATATATATCTTGTTGCGCTATAGCCTGATGGGATCCATCTTGATAATAACGGGGCTATACGCAGTCTTGTGGGGCAAAGGCGAAGAATTCAAGACAAAAACAGCAGATCAGAATGTTGCTGAAGCAGAAGACTCAGTTGAATTAGGAGACTCCTTGCAGATAACTACCCCAAATAATGATCATCAAGGTACTAATAAAACTGTTAATCATGAGGGCGAAAGTGATCAGACCACGACTAAGCCTGTTGGTTTTACTGCCACTCTGTTTAGTTTCTTCACTTCAAATCCGATGATCAGAAAACAATGAAATCAAGTGTCAAGAAAGGTTACTGAAACAAATTAAATGAAGAAACGCAAGACTTTCCATATGAATGATCATCAAAGACTGATCAAATGAACAGCTCATACATGAGTGTGCATGAATAATGAGAAGGGAAAGGAATCACGTATCTATTGGTTATCAAAGAAATCTTATGGGAACAAATATCACAATAATGATCTGCTATATCATTAATAAGCCAACAAATAATGTTAATGATTCTCGCTTTTCTAGTACATTTTTTATTGTATGATTACTTTATTTTGCTGCTTGTAGTTCTATTTACTTGAATTTCATTATATGTATTTATGAAAAGTTCTGCTTTCTTGGATCCATAAATAAATAACAACTTTCTAATATTGGTAGTTTATATCATTTGATTATCACAAGTTACAGATTGTACTGCTCTTTTTAATTTGATCTCTTTTAGAATTGCCAATATATTATTTGATTCCTCACAGATAATGGAAGACTACTCATTTTATTACATGTTAGACTTCTAACAAACCATGGTTTCACAATCTCACAATTTATTAGAAATCTTATATTCTTAACCCATGAATAGTGTAACTTATCAGAATCTCTATAAAGCACGACCTACAATATAATATTCCAATTATTGGTAAACATCTTATGTTACAAACGTTGATTGTTGAGTGAAAGAGATTTAATTAATTATACTGAAGCAAAATTAATAGTTCAAATCTTATAGGCGAAAAAAATCATGTTAATAGACTTATTTCTTAATTGAGTTTGATAATACTCAAGTATAACTTAATAGTATTAAATATTGATTAATTATAAAAAATAATTTAAGATATTATGTGAATCTACACTTAGGCGATGACTTTGAAAAAATGTGTCTTCATCGTTACTAAATTTAATTATTTAGGATAAATTAATATAATGAAATTAATTATAACCATTTTATTATGAGAAATTAAATTTAAAAATATCAGTGTTTGAAGTGAACTCAATTAAAATAATAATTCTATCAGAAACCAAATTAAGAAAAAGTTTCATTTTCAATTAAACGCCATTAAATTGAAAGACCAATAGCATGAAAAACCATTAAATTAAATATATCACATTCATAAAGAACCAACATATATTGAATTTTAGTCCTCATCAGCGATCTCAAGGCCTACACATTTTCGAATATGCTGGAAGGCAGTGGTGGAGCCCCAGCCCTTCGTCAGGAAGTGTAAGATAATATAATTTAAAATTTTAATAATTAAAAAATAATATTATTATTTTAAAAAAATTATATTAGGTAAAAGATATAGTAGCATGAGTTTAAAATTATACATTTTTTTATTTGAGAAAAAATATATTGAGTTTTTAAGTATTTGCTGCCAAGTGGTGGTAGGTTTAACTAGTTAAAAAAGTTAAATCAATATATATAGAGTTGGTAATTTTGATCAAGTTCAATAAGTCAGTCCAAATTTAGTATTAAGAAGTTAAGGCCCAGCTTAGATATATAGGCATTTTCAAGAAGATAGGATATTTCAATCTCAATTCGAATAAGCTTGTAACACTCTAAATTTTTGAATCAATTTTTTACAAATTATAAGTTTAGTAAACTATTTTTACATCATTGAACTCTTACCATCAAAGAAAAAGTTCTACCATGGTAATAAATAACAAAACCTTTTTTTTAACTTTATTATGGTAGAAAAGATCTTATCATGTAAATAAAATATTTTATAAATAATCTACCATAGTAAAAAAAAATTTAACATAATGAATAAACTCCACCATGATAATTAAGATGCCATTAAAATAAAAATTTTCTTAATGGAAGACAATGTAAAACTATTCACATCAAAAAAATAATTTTGAAATCAAAATTTAGCATAGAAGCCTATTCCAAGGTGACAAGATCCCAACAATTAATAAAAATAAGTTCTGGGTATAACTATGTGACTTAAGTATACATCATAATCATTACCATATAATTTTTTGTAATTTTTGTAATATCATTAAGCAATAGTATACTTAGTAATATCCAAAGTGGGTCCATGCAAAATTCACCATAGTTCAACACTTGTTGACCATTAAAAATAGCTAAAGGATGTGCACTTATCTATAGCATAAACATACATTTACTAACTAATCAACACCTACAAGTGAATTTAGTTATATCAATAATACCCCAAAAAGTAATTAGGACTATGAGAGATAGACATGATCCTCATAATTAAGCATAATATTTTGCATCTAAGGCACCAAGGAACATAAAAATTCTGCATAACATAACCTTTAAATTAAATCAAGAATTAAGAGGGACGGACAAAATCCTCTTGACCATGTAGATATGTCAAATTGAAGATTAGAAATTATATGCCCTACAAAATAATATATGTCCTAAATTAGCATAATATACATTACATACACCAAATTAAGTGGCAATAAGAACGTAGTTTCCATACACCAAAATTTACGCCTCTAGTGCTTTCCCAGCCAAACTCGCTCTTATAAAAATACTAACCATGGGGAATAAGACTTAAAAATCTCAGTAATCAAAAATTAATATGTAATAATGCATGCAGATACAACTAATCATTCAATTGCTAAATGAGCATACCAAAATATTTAACTAAACAAATATTTTCAAACAAACTAAACAAACAATTATTTAATTACATAACTATACCTTATATTCTCCTTTCGTCATGCCCAAATGCCAAGTCACCCAACCAAAGGTGAGTTAGACCAAGATACATGCCATTCATTGAATCCAATGAAGGCTTACCATGTTATAATAATTGATCAAATAGAATTCAAAACAACACTATATTTTAAAATACCCTAAAAAGTCATGCATAATTTAAACAACCGAAGAAAAATATAATCGAACAATAATATCTCATAATAATAAATAAATATAAATTTTTAACTCACTTGGCAATAATACAAATATGTATATATAAATATTTATTTCCAAACAATTCATAATTTTTAAAACAACAAACAACACATAACCAATTACACACATACCCCCATTACAACACATTAATAATGGTTACCTTATATTTTGGATAACAAGCTTCCCTTCACAACTCCTTTTTCGCCATTTTTTTAATCAATACAATCTACATAATCATTCCATAATGCTGTATATTAATTTTACATTAAAATTAATAAATAACTCTAATTTAAATATTTAGAAAATTTTAGACCTAAGACCCATATTAGCATTAATTCAAGGTCAGTGCCTCATTTAGCTTTCCAAAATTCGTTCATAGAATTCTCATATCTTAATAAACTATATTTAAGTCTCAAATCACTTCTAATCTCACAAATTCATCAATCCATATTCCAAAAATTCACCCAAAAATAAATTTAAAATTATCCTCAAGCCTCAAATCACCATTTTACAGCCTTAGAAATATCTATTTATACTCAAATAAATATTTAATAATCAGAAATTCATATCCAAATTTCAAATTTAATATAAACTAAATTATATAAGTCTAGAGTTTAACTCAAAAATTCTCAAATTTGAATTTCAACCTTAAAAAAATATTCTATAGCATTTATTACACCTCTAACAACTCCAACAATCATTTTAAATCATCATAACTTCAGAATAACTATTTTATAGAAAAACCTAATCAAAAAATTTACTCATTTCCTTAAAATAATGCCACGGTTAGACAGCTTCTGATGAGTAAGAAATATTTAGAGAAAAGATTTGAAGCATGGGAGTCATTTTATATATCTAAATGAGTTGAAAAGGCTCAAACTTACCTGGAAATGACGACCCGCGCAGACTGGAGAGAGGGAAGAAGAAGACGACGCGCGAGAGACTCAGAAAATATGTTTGAAATACAAATGAGGTGTGGATATTGAATAAACATGTGGTTCTCACCATCGCCTTTTCTCCATCCGGTTTTTTTTTTTTTTTTTTCCTTTCTTTCTTTTTGGTTCTTCAGCTAACGTTCCACTTCATTTTTTTTTTACATTAAATCTTTTGTTTTTTATTCCTATCCTCTCTTTATTTTCTTTTCTTTCTTTCTTCTTGTTTTGTTTCTTTGTTTGTTTTTTTTTTTCATATTTCATTTATATCATTTCCTATTATATTTTATTATTTTTATCTTTAAATTATATCCTAAGCTAACCTAATAAATATATCTTATATGACTCTAGGCCAACTTAATCTATAATTAAATGTCTAAACATAATATTAACCTAAATAACCTCAAATACAAATTCATTCCTTAATTTTAACCTCAAAATAATATAAATTCCTATTTTAAGACTCAAATCCTATAGTTTATTTATTATCTCAAAATTGGGATGTTACAAGACTCGACCCACCCAAATTATTAGCTCTATACAGTACAATAGGATACACAAGTTTTCAACGCAATTAGAAAATCATCCATTTTAATTATATCTGGTAAGACAAAAATCATATAAGCTTGTATGAATCACAAAATACTTATCCTCAGTAATTAAAGGAGATTATCATCATTAATTACCTTTTCAAAAGTTCAAATTAAAATGACAAAACCAAATTGTTGATCACTGAAAGCATGAAAATTCTAGATCCCATGGTTTGTTCTCCAAATCTCAACAAAGCTTTATGTCTAGAAAATTGTTTCACCAACATATATGCATGTTAGCAAGTTAAAAGAATAAACCATTGAGAAATAGAAAAAAAAATTATCGACTAAAGAAAAACAAAAGTAAAATCATAAAGATCCATATATATATATATATATATATAGGTAGAGAAGAGGTAAGAAAAATGAAAAAATGAAACCTATTATTAGTGTATTCGTACAAGCAACTTTAGTTAAAGAAGACAACAAGGGCAACTTAGCAATCAAAAAACAAATAATGCAACTCACAAGTCGTAAGGGAGAAGACAAGTAGTAGGAAGGAGACAATGACTAAAATGAGAAGACTAGGGTTTAAAAAATTACAAAAACACTCACAATACAAAATGAAAAAAATATCTTCAATTTTAAAAAATAATT